GCTACGATGTTATTCCAAGCAGGCTTCCAAAGCAACTTGCCTCATAGCTCCCAATTCCAAGGTCCATAAAAGTGTGGAGACATTGTGTATGAAGTTATGTGGACACTGCCTGCGGCCCAGGGCAATGTTAATAGATGAATCACAAGCCTCTCAAGAAACAACTACTTCCAAGGGGATCGTAGCTGAAGTGTGAAGTCAAACTGCATTTGTTTACTAAGGGAAGGAAACTCCTATATGTCCAGTAAAGGACACTTGTACATAGTTTTCTAAAATAAGTCATTGTTCAAGTGTAATGGAGCCTGCCGGCATTAGAATGATAAGTTGTTTCTGTCTTATCGATTTTTGTACAAGGTACATAAATAATTAGTATATCACGGACACACAGCCACTAAGAGAATGTACAGACAAATGTGCTCGAATGTAGACGGAAAAACCACAGCAGAGACAACACAAACCCAAAGAAATGGACATAGTTCATAGAAATTTATGATTTATGGTACGGCTCATTTGATTCTGTCTCAGCTGAGAAGTATTTTGAGAGCATTCAGTGTCTGGGCCTGAAACCGAAATTGGATATTTTTTTTGAAGGACTGACAAGATGAGAAATTGTCCTCATTTGGAATTCTGTAGAATCCTTGGGGAAGAGTGGAGGAGCTATGTAACTCTCTCCTTTCTCAGCCCCAAATCTTGATGCTCCTTAAGTCATTTGATGACTTGCTCTTCTGGGAGAGACAATTCACGGGGAAACTGACAGAGAGTGTTCCCGATGCTCACCCTCGGATCTTATAAAACTAGTCCTTGCTCACACAACTGTCCGGTAAATGGCTGCTACATTCAACTCAGCTGTAGACACTATTGCTCACTGATGGAGGCTTGTGTGGCTCTCAGAAGTTTTTAATGACCATGAGGCTAAATAGTACTTGGGTTCCTCTTACTGAGCAAATGCTCTCTGTAAATTCCTCTTTCCCAGGATATTTTAAATTAAAACCTCACAAATTTAAATCTGTGTTTCAAGATAGCTGATTCCTCCACAGTTATGTATACCACAGGATTTGTTCAGTCTATTCTGTGATACTCTGGGCTCTACTTCCACCCGCCAGGGTAAATGAAGGCCACTAAGAAGTGTCCACTGGAAAATTCATAAGGAGAATTTTCCCAAGCTCACCTTAAGAGTCCTGTCAGTTACGAACAAGCACTCCCCCTTGAATCTGCTGCTTCAGCTACCATGGCAAGTCTGGCAGAGAGGATGGCAATGTTGGAAATATTTAACACCTGGGATGGGGCACTGGCCTATCAGAAGGAACCCTGGTCATAAAAGCCAGTTCCAGCATGCAGGTGTATGTCAGCCGCACAGGTGGGCCCCAGGGCTTGGATGGCTGTTCTAGCGCTAAGTCTGGCCATGACTGCCAACGCCCTGGCCTCAGCCTGAGTGATTGATGCTCCTGCTCCTGTGGCAGCACCTGTTGCTGTAGTTGGTCCAGGATCTGTAGCAAAGGAACAACCTGTTTGCGTTTTCTCTGGGTGACAGTTGTTCTTAGAAAGGGACAAGTGCTCTGCTCTTCTTATGTGTGCCTTTGAGGTAGAACAAATCCAGCGTCCCCTTCCTAGGAGTTCCCTAGGAACCATTTTCTCAAGCTTCATATCTAAGCAAAGTCCCAAGTTAAAAACTCTGGCATGATTTCCAAGCGAGGTTAAATGTCTAGTATCAAAGAGGTGCTAACTAGACCCAAAGGGAGACGTTTACCTTTAAAATCTGTTTTATTATCATACAGAAGTCTCTAGTGTTTTACAAATCCTTAGTTCCTTGCTGTTAGCCATCCCTTTGTTAAATATGTGGTTTTAAGAGTCAGTAATTTTGTTGTTTTAAAAAAATTATTATATTTATTTATGTGTAGTGTGTGCTCTTGAGCAGTATTTTTTGCCCAAGGTAATAGACCTATTGTTACAATCTTTTTAAAATCAAATCTCTTATCATCTGGCCTGACTTTCCTTCCCTAGGAATGAGTTTGTTCCCCTTAAATTTCCTCCATGAAGAGTCCCCCTTGGGCAGGCTAAGAAAGCCAGACTGGCTGCATTCAGAGGTTCCAGATTAGGTTCCCTGAGGGGACACTCAGGCCATCTTATTTCCCTGTGCTATTTATTATCTCAGCACTCACCACAGCTTTAAGATCTCTAAAAACAACTCCTCGAGGTAGAGGTATTCTGATTAGTGGAAGTATTTTGAAGTCCCAGGCTTTGATGTCTTCAGAGGGAGATAAACAACAGACCTTCCAGAAGGGTCTGTGAGTCCAGTTCTGAGCTCATACAATGACGACTACAGCACTTGACCTCTGACCTTTTTAGGCAGAACAGAGAGAGAGAGAGAGAGAGAGAGAGAGAGAGAGAGAGAGAGAGAGAGAACCCAGTGGTGGTGAGCCAGAACTCTCTCTGGGCAGGAGTTTGGATGTCAGAATGAGGAAAGTGTGGAAGCTGAGGAAGAAGGAGCAGGCCTTAGAGCTCTTAACCAGGGAATCTCCAAAGTTAGTTTCACACCAGCCTCTGGCAGCTACCAACCTTCCGACTCCACGTCTGCCCTTTCACCCTGTGAAGGATGTGCTAGCTTAGCAGCCTCTGGCTTCACCTAGACTGAGCATCTGCTCTAAGCATCAGGATTTGAAATTGAATGTGACCCTCCCTCAGAAGGTCAACAGACTTTAAATTTTACTATCAACATATTCACTTTGAGTCATAGCTTCCAGGAAAAACAATGATGTTCACTATCTTCCATTCACAGGGACAGAGCAACCTTCCTAATTAAGGAGTAGACCAAGGAAGTCTTGCCAAAAAAATGTTTTGCCCATGTGCAAGAGTTGGGGTGCAGATGGGGTGAGATGAGAGTTTTCGGTCAATCTTTTTGCTGTTTGCTTTCTCAGTATCTCACATGATTTAATCAACCACTACATCTTGGGATATACAACTTATTTCCTTTTTCTCTTGATTTCTTTCCACCTAGAAATATAGAAAAACTCTAAACACAGAAATACACTGATAATCACCAAGCATATTTTAAATACTCTGAATTTTCCGATTAAAAGAAGTTATACAAGTTTGAAATACAAAGAGACTAAAAAGTGCTTGGCAAATATTGTTTCAATGAGCATCAACATCTTGATTTAAATGAACTAAAATATAATCCCAATATTAGAGGAGACATAAATGACTTCCTGAACCTATAGAACAAGGCTGTATAATATATGTGTACATATATGCACACGATTAGTTAGAAGTGTCAAGAGATACTTGACACAATTTAGGGTCATCTAAAATGTTTGCATTCATCTAAATATAAACTATATAAACATAACCCAAAGCTGTAGTCATTTGAAATGCTTGTGAAAACTTTAGAGGTTTTTTCTTCTACACAATGAAGATTCATCTGGGATTAAATTCGAGACATGATTTGAAGTATTAATTTTTTACAGTGATAAGCAGTAGCCCCTTTACATTGACTGTTCTATAAATATTCAAGATAGATGAGCATATCTACACATTACCTTCCATGAGGATAATTGTAAATATGTACAATATAAGATAGGAAGGTACACTGTGCTTTCAAAGCTACCTTAAAGGTGTGTGTGTGTGTGTGTGTGTGTGTGTGTGTGTGTGTGTGTGTTTGGAGATGGGCTCACTATGTCATTCTGGTTGACCTAAATCCTCCTGGCTCTTCCTCCTGTATACCGACAATACTGGTAGGTGGTCAAAAGTTAATCAACTCTTTATGGTTGTTGAAAAAGCCATACTAGGCAGTTACTTTTCTTGGTTTCTGTGACACTGTAACACAAAGGCACCATTTAATTAATCCTTTGTTTGCCAGCACCACCTTAATGCTCTGCTATCTCCTGATGCTCCTTTTCTCGGGAATGTGTAGATAAGACGTTTCTAACTTCAATCTGACTCCCCTTACCTGCTCTTAACAGAATTTAAAGTTGATCCAAAAGGACTTGGGGAAAGAGAGAGATCAAAGATGGCCCCAGGTGTCCATCCTTGATTAGATGAGGGAAGGAAAGATCAGGCTAAGCCCCTAAGCCTGGAGCAAGGCATTCCTGAGGTGGGACCACTTCACCTCCACAAGTGGCTTTGTGGATTCCATGCCCAAATCATAAACATTCCTGTGTAGACCCATTCCCAATGAGTGATTTCTGTGTCACTGAGCATTGTGACTATTTGTAACATTTCACTAGGCAGCTTGGGAATGGAATGTATGATTGAAGCATGTGGAGCTGATGAAAAAGTATTAACCATATGAAGAAGAGGGTCATTTGTATTTAGTTTGTCATAACACGATATATATATATCGCGATATATATATATCGTGATATATATATATCGTGATATATATATATATATCCTTGCAAAATAGATGAATAGAAAGAGGCACCAAGAAACAAACAAGCGAAAAAACAAAAAGGTGGAGAATTGTAAATGTGGAAGCAAAGACAAGCATCTAGGTGAAGCACAGACAACGAACTGAAAACTACTAAAGTTCTCTTTGGGAAGAAAAAAAGGATTCAATGAATCTCATTTTGAAAGGCAAGTTTCCAGGAGAGCAGGGACAAGCGTAGGAGCAGTTTAGAGGCACGGAATAACTCATAACGTCCATTTGTTCCACACCGTCCATTTGCGACAATAAACAAAAAACTGCGGGCTCACAACTGAGGCTCTGATCCACCTTTCCAAGAGAGAAGAATGTGTACATTGAGTTACGTAAAGCAAACTAGTGTAGCCCATCGTTGCAGCAACTCCTGTTTCAACACATAAAGTCCCAAGGAGACTTTCGGTCCCCCGCATGGATGCCTCTGAGTTACTCCGTGTCGCACCGAACCCTGCCTTCCTGTCTCCACGCTCCCGGGCTGCGCGCGCACACGCACTCCCACTCACACGCACAGTCCAAAGGGGCTCGCGGGGATGACTGTCCCCTCTAGCGGTCACCCGAGCCAGCCCGGCCGGCCGTCTCACTTTACCTCCCGCGCAGGCAGGATGCCGGCCGCCGCTGGCTCCACAGCTGCCTTCGGTCTCCGCCTCTCTCCCCTTCTGGTTCAGCAGTTTGGGGCCCTCTGTGTTTTCAACAGGTACCATGGTCACCGTAGGACTTACAGCTTCTCCCTCGCCAGTAGACCACCCCGACCTACCGCGCTGACAGCAGTGGTCGCTGTCCCCATGGGCAGCATGCTAAAGAAGAGTGGGAGGGGTTGGAGGGGGGGGGCGACCTTCGGGCAAAGCCAGTGTGATTTGTAACCAACTTTGTTTCTATTTCCGAAGGCTTTGCCCTTTTCGGTGACACAGGCTGTTGCTATTCCAAGCAGCCTATCACAGGCAGGGGGAGGGCCGTGTCTCCAGGATTGTTTTGCCTTTAGATGCGAGTTGGAAGCAAGAGGTTAAAAAGACTTAGGACTCAAAGGCAGTGTTTGGCCACCGGCTAGGGCTAGCTCTTGTGTTCCCGCAATTTGAAAAGCAGCTTAGAAAAAGAAGCATGCAGATTTAAATGCAAGTCTTCGAGCCAACAGTGGGGGAACAAATACCCACAGATGGTATTAGTTAATCTCGCTAACAGGCACATTTTATGTAAAGACATACCAGAAGGAAAAGTATTAATTTTTCTTTTGTCAGGAAGCGTGTTACCCTAAAAGCCACGACACTCCCAGCTTAAACAAAACGTAAAACTTATTTGTTTCAACAGGATTCGGGTCTAGGTAAATGCCTAGCATAGTTTTCTCTCTAGGCCTATGGATGAGAAGGCCTGCTCCGAACTTCTAACATATCGATTCTTTAGACACTTTCTAGCCTGAGTTTATAGCAAGCTACTCCTTTTAAAAATGCACAGTTGACCTGAAAGCGAGGAGCAAACAGAGGATCTTCTGTCAGGTTGCTCGTTGTCTTGGCTGGCGGGAGGATACTCGGTATTCATAGATGACTGGGGCTGTTGTAACATGAAACAAATCAGGGCACCAGAGGAAGGGATGTTTTACTGGTTTGTGAACTTATATAAACAGTCAGACAGAGTGACATATTTTACCATCCGTACTGTACTTAGCAAATCATATCCACTGAGAAAGCTGTGACATCACCTTAGAAATCATTGGGGTAAACACTTGAATGTGTGAAGTACTTTATAAGACAGAAATTAGGCTGGATGGATGACTTCGAGCGATTCTTCTCCAAATTAAAGCGTGTTAGAGAAAATGGAAGCCAAAATAACTTGCCTAAGCTTTTTAGATCAGGCTGTGGCTCTGTGGTAGAGCACTTGCCTACTACACACAAGGTCCTGCCTGGAGTCAGAGCACAAGAGTTACAACAAACAAATAAATACAGCCAGTGCTCTCAACCTCCTCAGAGCTGGTGGAGGGTAATTCTCCTTCATTCTAACATTCCAGCTGGGTCCAACACTCTTTAGTTCTTCTTGACCTTAAGAGATGCCAGGAAACACAGATTTTCATATTAGCCATTCTTCTGCAAGGGAAAACAGGCCTGCACTTGTCCTGGCAGTGACCTGTGTTTGCTTATTTTGCACACATTTTGTGTCCTAACTAGGTTTTTCATTAGCATCATGTGGACACATCTTCCCTCATCCCTAGGCATTTCTATATTATGCTTTAGGAAAGACAGGAGAAATGGAAACAGATTCAACTACAATTCAATTACTATTCACCGAGCATTGATTATACAACTGCTGTATACACCCGTCATTCTAGGAAGATTCCCTACAGAGCTCACTCACGTCTCATTAGGAGTAGACGCTCAGAGAGGATCGACGTGTCAAGACCAAAGAACTCACAGTGCAAAGTGGCTGAAAACACTGCTTTTGCTTGTCCCCATGTGCGTTTCAGGGTTCGCAGGGTTTATTTGTGAACATAAAAACACATATTTATCGTTTCATCACATTCTCTTGCTGGGAACCTGTAACGAACTTAGTGTGGGGTGGGACAAATGTTCTTGCTGTAGGTGACTTGTACAAATGCTTGGTTTATGACAGCTCCCCACCCCCCTGCTTCCTGTTAGCAGGAAGCATTGGATTGTTTGCTGGGGCAATTGAGTTGGCACAAGACAAACCCACTTCTAGAACACCCTATTATGATTGTAAGTAGTTCAGCAACCCGTGCTCAGCTCTCAGTAACTGCACTATTCAAAGACTCCATAGGCATAAGTCAGAAGTCAAGAACAATAAGGAACCAACCTGACTGACTACATTGCCTCCTGTCATCTGAATCTGTTTCTTGTCTCATTGTTGGCCTGACTAAGGTCTACACTCACTTTGTTCTCGTACATCAAAGTCAAAGTCGACTCCACTGTGCAGCACCAGGGTGTGCTGGGTATTTTCAGCCCTCAGAAAGAGTTTCTTTGACTTTATCCCACCTTTCTACCTATTCACTTCTGCTTTTCCCCCAAAGCAAATGATAGAGATCAGGATTCCGATTACCCAAGGTTAGTCATAGAAGCTAGAGCCTTTCTTCAAAGCAGGCAATAAAACTCGAGTTACCTTTTCCACTCTCCCTTCAAGCGGTGTCTCACTGGATTCTCAGAAGGAATGTGACACTGAAAGACCAAGAATCTGAACACACAGGTCTTGCTGAGTTTCTGTTTTAGCTTTTACCATTAGATCCCTTGGGATCCATCTACATTTCTACATGGCTGTCCTGTCCAGTCTTTACTGAACCAAAGAAGGAGATAAGTTTTCCATGAGTATTGGGATCTTCATTTCTGGAGGGCCCTCTACCACACAAAAGTGTTGCTAGATGAATATGCTATGGTTTCTTGGGTTAGCCAGTCTTTTGTTATGGTTGTGCTGGTAATGAGTGGTAAGATGGGTGGTAAGAAAAGCTACCACATACTTCTGCCCCTACAGCTACCAGACTGATCCCTGTAAATACAATGTTTATCATTACCAGAATGTGAACTTTAAGAGGGCAGGAAGCTGTAGATTTCTGTACCATTCATCTATCCCTCTTTTTCTAGCTCCTGGGAAGATACCAGCCATGTTGTACCTGATTGATGACAATTAAAGCTGTTAGTGGGCCAAATAACTAAAGCTTTTTTTGAAATATCAAAACCCAAATTATGATTGCCTATGACACTTGGTCCCTACTCTCACCTTTGCCTTTGGGGAGAGTATCACTGAGGTTGCCCCAAGGGAGTCTGAACTATTAAGGCCAACATTAAAAGCTATTCTTCCACTCAGAAATTATGTAATCAGCCACCAGAAGACAGGCAGTCTTTTACTCATATCACCAATACATTTACTATACTGTACTTCAGACCATTGTTGATAGGCAGTGCTGCCAGGACTTCAAACAGTGTGGCTTACAGAACAACAGCGTGTGACAGCAGATGCTTTGCTTTGTGAAAAATCATTGCCCCCACTTTGCAGAAATCAAAATTCAAAACTTCACTAAACATGCCCAAGATCAAAAGATAGTTTCCAATGACTGATTATGAGAAGTTTGAATCAAATCCTATATTTTGTAATACTATCTTAATGTTTTCCCAATTATCTATCTACCAATCCCCCCATCTATTGAAATACATTCATTTTTGTTACAACTAAAGTAAGGGTAAATGCCTTCTATGTGGTATCGTTAGCAAGGTCTCCACACTCTTTAGGTTTCTTCTTTCAGCAAAGTTTTACATGCAGTATGGAGCACAAAGCCTAAGAATGCCATTATTCACGTTCCAAAAATCACACACAACCCAAACCCTGGTTACACCACAGAACAGGACCAGCATCCCAGAAACGTCCTTGTGTTTATTCTGAGCAAAGCCCCACCCTAACCTCCAGCAGGTACTGGTTCTTTGTTTGCCAGTCAATCACCTCCACCTGTCTGGAATCCTTCAACAAGGGGAGTGTGTGATGGGACTCCTGTGTAAAACCTCTTTCCCTGGCCTTGATTTGAGAATCGCCTGGTTTTGCCCATAAACTATCAGTTCGTGCTCTTTATTGCTGCATAGCATGAGATGAGTGAGTGCCCCAACTTACTCATTTCCTCTTATGGACACCGAGGCTGTTCCCGACTCTTGTACATCATACATAAAGCTGCAATGAGAACACGATTTTTTTTTTTTTTTTAGAACCTAACATCTCAGTGTTGACACAGCAGTCCTAGTCTGTTGGATCTCAGACCCACGGGCTTTCCTTTATACCCTGCTGCTTCTCTGTACTGTATCATTATGTTTGTGTGGACATTCCTGGGGGTTTCAACCTAAAAGGACTCATTACAGTATAAACACAAATGGAGAAATAGGATCTTTAGACCAACAAGGAGTCTAGATACAAATTCAGTGCTTGCTTAGTCAGAAGCCAATTAATACCCACATTGGCATGATTTTTTTGTAAGGATATTTATTTTATCATTTTGTTATGTTATCTGAATAATTTTGCTTTCTAAATGATTTCTTGTTTATCCGTTTGATTTTGAAATGGGCTCTTGCTGTGTAGCTAGATGAATGGAAACACTATTTTCAGAACAAATAAAGATGATTTACATAGAAAACAAGAATACTGGATGACTGTAGTGAAGGCTTTCCCTAATGCTGTAGCCTGACTGAGGATCCGTTTGCCCACAGGACTGCCTTGTTTGCCTCAGTGGGAGAAGATGCTCCTACTTGGGCAGAGACTTGATGCACCAAGGAAGGGGGCTACCTCGGGTGGGAGCACCCTCTCAGAGGAGAATGGGGAATGGGGGCAAGGGCTCTGTGAGGGGGAGACTGGGAAGGGGGAAATGCTTGGGATGTAAAAAATAAATATAAATTTAAAAAAAGAATATTGGTTACTTCTAGAAGCTGGAGTGGGAATTTCTTCTGAAGAAATATGATGGAACTTTCCAGAATGATCCTGTTCTTTGGTGATCCCTCTGCCTATGCCATCTAAATGCTGGGATTATAGGCATCTTCCACCCACCTCAAGCTGCTAAATGTTTTCTGTATTTCTTTCATATGGTTAGAGTATTATTATGACTCATAACATATTATTTAAAATCTCCAAAATTACAAAATGAACATAGGTAAGTTCATTATATGATCACTGTATTTAATATTATATATTAATCATTAAGTATAAGACAATGAAGCAATGCAAGAAAATGTTCATATTGTTACTTTAAGTAAGAAAATCAGTAGAAAATTATATACTCAATATTTTTATACAAGCTTTTAAAATATACATGCATAAATTGCTCAAGAACTTTGGAAAATTAAAATGAAATATAATTGATATTGTAGGCTGGCAATCATGTGTAAAATGTATTGCCTTAAAATTTTTTGGG